ATTTCAGATACTGTATTTTCCATCTCTAGAAGTTACAATTAGGACTTGTTTATAGCTTTCATTTCTGTCCTCATAATGTTCATGTCTCTTTCTATCTTCTTAGGCATATGTAGCATATTTATAATAACTGTCTTAAGTTCCTTGTTTGTTATGCTATCATCTAGCATTTCTTGGTATGTTTCTATTGATTTTTCTCCTGTTTATGGGTCATATTTTCCTATTTCCAGCATTCATGGTAATTTTTGACTAGATGCCAGACATTGCAATTTTTGTGTTGTTGGGTGCTGACACCACTTGTTTTATATATTTCAAAGTTGCTAAGACAGTAAACCTTAAGTAGTCTCACCACAGAAAAGAAAAGGTAATTATGTGAGGTGATGAACATGTTAACAAACCTTATTGTGGTAATCATTTGGCAATACACACATGTATCAAATATCACGTTGTACACCTTAAACTTGCACGATGTTTTATCCATTATATTTCAATAAGGCTGGGGGGAAAATAGACACTGGGTTCTAATCACTAACAGAAAATCTTCCTTCTGATTCTATTTTTAGACCCAACAGTTATATAGTCCCAGAGTACAATAATGTCCAAACCAAAAAATTTATTCTTAATTTTGATCACCCCGGGAGTATCATTATTCCAGTCACAACGAAGCAAGTTTACCACCCTTACTACATGGTAATGCAGGGTGAACATAAAATTTACATGAAAATAAAGAGCAAATGCTCTCTGACCAAAAAAAAACATGTTATAGCAGGAGTAATTATATTACCAGGCTCAAATTTTAAAAGACCATGGTTCTAGAGCATGAACAAACAAACAGACCAATGAAACAGAACAAACAGTCTCAAAATAGACCCATATATGTGGGAATACAGAATTTGCTAAATGTAGCATGTCAAACCTATGGAGAAAAAAATATTTGTCTTTATTTTTTCTCAGACTGTCCCAATAAGATATTAGCTCAGGACAACTTTACTCTGAATTCAACTTTACTCTGATTAAATTTGGCCAAGTGAACTGACTAGTTCCTTATCCTCAAAGTGAGCATAGGCTGTTTTAAGAAGAAAGCTTGTTTGGTATCATACTTAGAATGCAAGATGTTGTGTTTATCTTTGTATATGTACGTATTACACATATTATTTAAAAGAAAGGTCCTGACTAATGGGTCTCTTCTTTCTGTGCTGTGAGGCATATGAGTACAAACACAATATATAGAAAAAAATCTTTTGACTCTTGAAAGAAAAGCAATTACCAAAAAGCAAACGTTGGTAGTGGTAGTGTGAGGATAACAACTCATCATTATTGTTCAAGAACACACGTTTCCAGCATTAAAATACTGTGTGAAAAAAACCCAACTTGTTTATAATCTTCATTTGTGGATAAACCTGAGGCATGAGAGGAATAACTAATTTATATTTGTGTAATCTCATGTTCTTCTGTAATTACCACTTGGTACTTTTGCCAGTGGTTCTATGTTTTAACAGGTCTGGATTTGTATGCGTATGTCTAAGGAAGATGCTGGTATTGGTGACTGTGAATTTCACTTCCTTAGTGTTTGACTTAAGATAGCATCCAGGTATCACAGTAGGCCTCCTTAGGAGCATGCTGTTAATGGGCACTGGCTGAGCTTCATCTGCAAGTATAGTATGAGAGAATGAAAGAGACTATGTTTCTAGAAGAGGACATTTTAAAAACAATTTTACTCTGCTTTCATTTTCCCTACCCTTGTCTAAATGGACTGAAAATGAATTACAGCTAAGTTACCTACTTGGTCCTTTAAGATGCAATTACCTAAACTTGTCGTTTTATGAATTTTTGATATTTTTTCTTACTTCCAAATCCTTTATCCTTTTTCTTTCTCTTAATCCCTTCTCTCTGCTTCCCTAACCTTTTCTTGCTGAAGAATGATACATGTGGCTCTCCAAACTCTTTTAATTACTATACTTACCATCACCTTTCATGTCTCCATCTTTTGGTTCCACGCTATTCTTTTTGCCTAGATATTTTCACCATCTTTCTTTCCTGGATAACTTGTACATACAGTTGGCCCTTGCACAACATAGATTTGAACAGCATGGGTCACTTCTATGTGGATTTTTTTTTTTTCAACAAACATACTGGAAGGATTTTTGGAGATTTGTGATAATATGAAAAAACCTGCCGACAAAACTCATAGCCTAGAAATATAGAAATAATTAAGAAAAAGGTATGTCATGAATGCATAAAACACGTAGATACTAGTCTATCCTTACATAGGCATAAGGTGAGTGATATTTAATATAAAATTAATAATGTGTTAGTTTTCTTACCATTTTATAACATTGTTTTCAAAAAATTACATTACAGTACAGTATACTGCTCTCTCCTAATTGAAGAAATTACCTGTCAGCCTATCGTCATGGGTAAGTGTTTTTTTAAAAAATGTAAATGTTTCCAATACTGTATTATGAATATGACTGTAATACTGTATGCCATACTATTATAACCATTCATTCATTAGTGTATAGGCTAGGCTATCGTGAAGTAATCATTTTGATTACACTAGGCTACCATAAAGCATTCTTATTGCAGCTTCCTCGTTATCAATACATGAAATAAATATGAATTTCTTTTTCACATGGTCTTTCCATTTTTGACATTTAGCGTTAGTAATACGTATTACATCTACAGTGTTTTGTATCATATAAGACAATATTGTTGTAGGTACTGACAGATGATTCATCTTGTAAACCGATGATGTAAACTTACGGTATTGATAATTACAGTACAGTATTGTAAAAGTATTTTCTCTTCCTTATGATTTTCTTAATAACATTTTCTTTTCTCTAGCTTAATTTATGTAAGAATACAGTATATAATGCATATAACATACAAAATATGTGTCAGTCGACTGTTTATTTTATTGGTAAGGCTTCTGGTCAACATTAGGCTATTAGTAGTTAAGTTTTGGAGGGAGTCAAAAATTCCACACAGATTTTCAACTGCGTGGAGAGTCGGCACCCCTAATCCCCCCCATTGTTCAAGGGTCAACTGTATTCTTCCGGGTTCAGCTCAGAAACCATCAAATGGACTAACATGTCAAGTTACATGCCCAGTTTATCTGTAAATATTTGTTCGTGAATGAATGAACGCATAAATGAAACAAGTCTTCCCTACATTTTCTCCTTCCTGTGTCTTCATCCCACAGCTCAAGAACAAGAGCCATATCTCAGCCTACTAATATACCATAGTGGATCATAGTATGGGCTCTACTGTCTGACTTTGCCTCTCTGGGTTCAAATCCCGGCTCTGCCCACTAAATAGCTGTGCAACCTTGTTTCCCCTTGTGGCTCAATATCTTTATCCTTACAACTGTGATCATAACACTATCTCTTGCATAGGGGTACTGTGAGAATATGATGCGATAATACATAAGGCGCCTAAAGTAGCACCTAAGCACTCTAAAAATGTAGCTATTATTATATTCAAGTGGTTCCAGTTACCTGACCCACCTCCACAGGACCTTCATGAGAACAGAGCTGTTCAGGTGCTTCTTTTCTATATCACATTCACTGATTTGTCAGCTCTGCAATCCAACAATCTCTTGAAGTCTCTCCTAAAACTACAAACTTTTTATGTTATCACAAGAAAGACTGCCTGAATGTGACAGAATGTGAAAGTTATGCTTTTTATTATATTCACGTAAAATAGTCAGTTACACTGAGTTGTCCAAATGCATTGGTGAATTAAAGCCTCCAACTCTTACAATTTTTTATACATATATCTATGCATTTATAAATACACACATATGTAAAAGATATATATTTTCTTCTAAAATAAAGTGCCCAAATCTTGATATATGGGGGCATAATAGGGAAAAAAGAATCATAAAGCTTTATCAATTATAGACTGTACTTTCTCAATATAAGAATCTGTTTTATATGCATTTATTCAGGTATAGGGAACTCTAATCACTCATTCTTTTCTGAATTCTCCTAAGTGAATTAATTTATCTGAAATATTAGAAGCCACATAGTCAACTTAATGAATCAGAGGCTGGTTCTTCTTACTGTGCCTGCCACAAAGCCTGGGCTCCCCAATGGAAGGGTAGTTAAGCCTCACTCTTAATTTTCCTGTTGTTTTGAATGTTGTCTTTCTTCTAAGATGAAAAGCAGAGAGAGAAATGAACCAGACACCTCTAATTCCAAATCCTCTGTTAGCATTCAATAAAGTCAGGGCTTGGTGAAAAGATTCCTTTCGTCTTTACATCGCCCTGGGCTTGGTGAGAAATGGTCCAGGAGGATTTGAATTGAGGGGTCCTGCTGCCTTTGTTATAATTAAATCTTGTTGGAGCCACAGAAGAAGAATTAGGGTGCAATGATCAATAGATCAAGGAGAGAACCAACTCAAATTGAAATGAAACTCTCTATGACAATGGAAAACTTTGTGAGAGCATGTTTGAATTTAAGAACAAAACAAGGGTTAAAGAAAAACTAGATGATTTAAGATAATTCAGAAAAATCCTCACTTCAAATAGAAACTAAGGCTCTATTCCCTGGTCCAACATCTTAGGTACTCTTCCTGTGTTTTCACTGTATTTTCTATTTTCTTAGACTTTTAGGGTGATCATTTGTAGACTTTGACAAGGAATGGAATTTAAAAATGCCTTTGAAAAGACTTCCACCTATCAAAGCAAGGTGAAGATGCCTAAAAATAGCTTAATATGAACACAGCCATTGCAGAATCTGGTGATTACATGTTCAAACTGCAAAAGAGCATATTTCATTCAAGCAGGCAAAAGAGAGATTGTCAGCACTGAAATTGCATTAAAACACTCTATAACTTCCCAACATATGGGAGGCTGGGATCAGTGGGAAGCCCAGATGTTTCCCAGAGTCAGAACAAGGAATGGAGTATTTTCTTTTATTTGAGGGGAGAAAAAAGGGAAAAAGGGCAAGAAAGTGTTTCCGTTTACCCAACCCACCTGAGCAGGGCCTTCACAAGAACAGAGCTGCCTAACTGCTGATTTTGGTGAGCATCTTGTTAATGGCTTGCTTGACGTGCGTGGTGGAGCTGCGTCGCCTCGTCTTGCCCTGGACCATCCTCCGGCGACGTACCTCTCTACACAGCTCGTAGAATATCTCGGTGATGTTCCCTTCCCCGGTACAGGCAGAACACTCATAAAAAGCACATGCCAATTCTGTAGCCAGCTTCTCCCCTTCTTCTGTACTAACCTGTCTGGAGTGGTCCAAGTCAGCTTTGTTTCCAACCAAGATGAGAGTCACATTCTTGGGCTTTTTGATCTCATCCAGGATGTTCTTAAGTGGCAGCACTTCCTCAAAACTTCCTCTGTCAGTAACGTCATAGACCAGCACAAAGCCTTCCCCCCATCGCATGTGTCCTTCCCTCTGAATGGTGTCTTCCTGTTGGCAAGGAAAATACGGCAGTCGGGAGACCTGGCAGTAATTGCCATGTATAGATGCTGCAAATGCTAATGCTGATCCCTTAATGACTATTCCTTATATTCAGTGTCATTAAAATTTCTTGGTAGTCTGCCTGAACAAGCTGACCTTCTCAATCAGTTTGGAGTAGAAGCATTACTTAGGGAACTAAACATTTTCTAACTGCATAGAACCTAACTTTCGGCTTCTAATTTTCTTGCCACATCATTAAGTGTGTAATCCCAAGAACTATAAAGAAATTATACTCTTAGTTGAGCATATTGCCTCTGAGACTTTTCATCACAAATAAAGAATTGGCCAATAGGTAACAGACAAGTAGACCTTATCCCATCCTTTGAGATCAGAATTAGAGGCACGGCATAGTGAAGTGGTTTTGATTTTTAAAAAAATTTTTTTCTCTCTTTAGATTAGAGACAATTAGCCCCCAGGACAGAAAAACAGTGAAAAATTGTATAGAGAGTCAAACTCAAAGCCTGGGGATTTTGGCTTCTTTTTCTATCTCAACGCCCTCCAAATATTATGCAGTCCCAATAATGACAGAACCTCATTTGCAGTGATTCTCAAAGTGGGTGATCCCTTCTTCCTAAGAAGGTAGCACGTGTGATTTGAAAATGCATTGCCTTTATAGGCTCAAATGATTTCTGCAGGCAAGTATTTCCCTGCTGCCTCTCTTTAGAATCAGTGCTGGAAGGTGAGAGCATATATAGGGAGCAGGTAGTGATGAGAAGGAAAACTGTATAATTAGCTGCAAGTATATTTCTTGGATTAAATATTTTAATTCAAGTCTTCTTGGGATCCCAAGTAACTGAAAAGCACCATGAAATCCTTCAGCTGCCTAACTCTCATTCTTAGTGGTCATGCCTAATCTTGGGAACCAAACCTACCTATGAACTTGTTTATAATTTCAGAACGACTGGCTACAAAACAAATTTATATTAGTTTCATTTTAAAATAAGTTACTATTGTTCAATGATGTGGCTCAAATTTTCAGTCGGATGTGGTGAGGTCTGAAAAGAGTATTACAGAAGGGATTCTTAAAGTATTCCAAAAAAAGATTCTAAGGTCATATAAGTTTAGAATATAATATATAGTAAATTTCTTAAAGATTCACCTTATACATAAGCATATTAAGGCTCTGAGAACTTCTCCAGTAATGATATCTATTTAACTTTATCACAGCATTCCAATGGGAGTTTTGGGAGATCTCTCCAACTCCCCAAAATATAGGTGGGCAATTCTATTCTAGATGATATTATGTGAATGTTATGATATTTTCAAAACCCCTTAGGAATACTGGGTAACTTACATAAGGATGCATATGAAAATAAGTTAATACTGTTGCAAATAAGTTAATATTGTATTTAAAATAAATAGATAATTAAATTTAAAAAGTCTTTAGGCATCATTAGTTAATTATAGGAAAGTATCTTAATTTTGTTCATATTATGCACATCTCATTTTTATTTGATCCAGAAAATATTTTAGCTTATTTTTCATTCACCTGGCCAGCAGTATCTAGTATCTCCATAGTGACAACTTCATCATCAATGGTTGCTTGGTGTCGGTAGGTTGATTCTGAGGAAAGGAGCAAAAAAGAAGGTGAAAAGGTAAATAAGTGCATGATTTAATTTGATGCTTAGAATTACAAATCAGTCACAGGAGTATGTCTGTTTTTATAGCATAAGGGAATGTGCATCCCAGGAAGTCTTTGCCTCTTATTTTATTCTCCTATGAGGCCAGCTTCCTGATGCTCTCTTCCTTCTAGAATGAGGCCTCTACATCCTAAAATGAGAACGTGATTCCCACAAGTGCATTCTACCTTGATACTCCTAAAAATCCAGTTTCTGGAATCATGTTAATTCCTGTTCCAGACAAGATGGCATATAGACAGAAGCTGTTCATTTCTATCTAGACCTCAACCCTAGGAATGTAATAAACATTAGAGGGAAGTGGATGGCTATCCATGTAAAAAATGACTGTGTAAAGCTATAAGGGACCCTTGGGGCAGTAGAAGGTGGTTGGACCCCAGTGACTGGGGGTTGGTGAGGAACAGTTACCCAACATGGAGGAGGGCTGGGCAGCATGGAGGGGAGAGGGAACAAAGCAGAGTTCATGTTGCCTCTTCAAGGTAGAAAAATGGTAGCAGTTCAATACCAGCCGGAGGCTGGTAGGATAATATCAGAGTAGTCCCCAAGCTCTGCTGGAGTCAGGAGAAGTTAGCAGGGCCAAGTGCACTAGGTGGCTGAGTGTGGCCCTGAACGTGAAATGGAAACCAGAAGTTAAAATGGTGCTGCTCTATATGAAAACTAGAACAACTGTCATAAAGCACTCAATAACTGATTAAGTTGATGAGGTTCAGGTTGAAGGACTCTCCCTGAAAGCACTAGTAAATGATAAGAAGGAAAATGTGAAAGTAAAATATAAGAGATATGGGTAATAGAAATAGACATGTTATTTTCCACTATAAAATGAGCCTCAAAGAGAGAATAAAATACATAGGAGAATGGAAGATATTTGAGGTGGTAGTGACTGAGAATTTCCCAGGATGATAGGCATTGAACAACTTCATATCAAAAGGACTGACAGTATAGAATGGATAAACAAGGTCCTACTGTATAGCACAGGGAACTATATTCAATATCCTGTGATAAACCGTAATGGAAAAGAATATGAAAAAGCATGTATGCATGTATAACTGAATCACTTCACTGGACAGCAGAAATTAACACAATATTGTAAACCAACTATACTTCAATAAAATAAATTTTAGAAAAGAACTAACAGGACACACAAGGAAAAATGTCCCACGTCTCAACCTATTACAACAAAATGTAAGGATATCAATGACAAAGAGGAAAATTTTAAAGGATCTAAAGGAAAAAAGCACATCACCTACAAAAGCGTGTGATTCAGATTGACCCTGGGCTTCTCATCAGCAAAACTGAATTCAAGATCCTAATGGAGTCAAGCAAAGCAATGAAACTACAACAAAAGCAATCCAGAATTACAGTTCTAGATAACAACAATATATCAGGTTGGAGGCGGGGGAAGAGACCAGAGGCAGGTTTGAGTGAGCTAATGTACTTGTCTTACTCCAAATGATGACATGACAAAAAGGAAAAACTGAAAAAAGTGAGCAAATTATTCAACTCAACTGTTAGAAGAGGAAAACAGAATAAATCCAAGAAGATATAAGGAAAGAAGTAAAAGAGAAAACATTAGATAAGGTTAACAAAACCAAAGCACGGTGCTTGAAAAATTAAAAAAAAAAAAAAAAGGTGGGTGGAGGAAAGGTAAAAATCTGGCAATACTGACTAATAAATTAAGAGAGAAAGTGCGATCAAACAAAATTTAGCATAAAAGGGAAAATAATTACACATTCTGGTGAAATAGTAATAAAAATAAAATATTATGAACTGTATACCAAACAAATTTCAAACTCCTGATAAATTTTGTGAGAGAAAAAAATACACAGATTGTTGCAATGAGAAATAGAACACAAGTAGATCAATACTGGGTAAAGAAATTTAAATGCTGATTGTAGATTTCTCATCATAATGAAATAGCTACACTCAATTGGCTTTATCAGAGATTGCTATTAAACATTAAACAAGCTGTTCTAGGAAAAAAAAAAGAAGAATAGCTACCCATTACACAAACTCGGACAAGAAGTATTGCAAAAGTAATATGAAGAGAAAAGAGAAAAAAATTGTAGGCTAATTTTATTCTTAAACATAGATTCAGAAATTCTAAATAAAATATTACCCAGTTGAATCCAACAGTGTAATAAGAAAAGTACATCATAAACTAGTAAGTGTTTATTTCAGTAATGCAAAGTGTGTATAACTATTAGTGCAATTAACACATTAAAGGACTAAAGAAAAAACAACCACATGATTACCTCTATAGGTAGATCTACAGCATGATAAAATGTATATAAACTTAAAGTATATGCATATATAGAAAAATACTTTTTTCAAAAAATATGTAATAGCTAGCACATACTGCTTATCATTTGAACATGAATGGTTCTAAATGCCTTACTTATGTTAACTCATTTATTCCTTACAAATATTTCATGCAGGATGTATTACTATCAGATCCATTTTATGTGAAGAAACTGAGGCACAACAACATTTAATAAGTTGCTGAAGGTCACACAGGTGTTAAGTGGTAAATGGTACAGTTGAGACTGGAACCCAGAAGATTGGCTTTAGGAATTTAGGCTTTGAACCACTGTACTAAGTAGCAACCATGTTAGATTATGTACCTATGGGAAAGAGGAGGGCAATGAATGTCAGAAGAGGGGATGCAGGAAAAATAAAGTGAAATAATATAAAGGCTTCACATACACATGACATGGTGCCAGGAAAACAGCAGCATGATTAACTTAAGTATTAACTCAATTAACTCAATTATTTGCACTTCAAGTACCCAAATCACTAACCAAGCAACTAACTAAAACCTAGAAGTTTCTTTCTCATCAGGGTAGCCAGTAAACCAGTGTTTTTATTTCATTTCCTCTCTATCTGTCTCATGTTTCTGACTTTCGTTTCTTCAGCTCATCAACTATTTTACAGTTCTTTTCTGACCACAGTTTTAAGTAACTTTGTTGTAAATCAAACCTCCTACTCAAAATAGAAACCACAGAAAGGAAACTTAACTAAGCAGCATAAGCTAGCCAAGCTAGCCTTCGACCTGCCATCAGTCGTGCGTAATGATCATTGCCATAGGCATGGCCCATTGTGAATGTATTTTCTGAAAAATAAAATTTTTAAACGAAGTTTTGTTTGTTTTGTTTTTTTTAGACTCCACATATAAATGATAACCTGGTAATGGACATCTAGGGTGCTTCTATATTTTGGCTATTGTAAATAAATGTACAGTTCAGGGAATATAGCCAATAGTTTAGAATAACTTTATATAGTGTGTAATCTATAAAAAATTGAATCACGATGTTGTACACCTGAAACTAATATACTATTGTGAATCACTATTCCTCCATTTTAAAAAATGAAAATGGGATTATGTTCAATAGATTTTAACAAGTGTATTTTACGTTACTGTCATTTTCCTATAATACATAATCCTTATGTGGTATGTACAATGATTCTCAATTCTAGATCACTCCATCCCCCTACTCTTCTATGTTAAATGGGAGATTATTGTTTTGTCTAATTGAATGCTCTAAAATACCATTTACAGTAACTACTCATCTAGAAGTTTTCTCTCAGTTATTTCCTTTTCATCTTCAGTGCTCCAGCCTGAAGAGGAGAGGCCAGAGGGCAGCACACAGCTAGGATCCATGCCCTTTTTGTTTCTCTCTCCACTGTTCTGCAGTGACCTTTCTTTGCCTTCCCTTTGAAAGGACCGGCATCAGCCCTGGAGCCTGGAAAACAGAGTTCCGGGCTCTAGCCCATCTCTTTGCACCAAAAGTTGTCTGACAGACAGGGACATTTTTCTCAGTTGCCCCCATGATAAATAGGATATGTATTTCAACCACAGAAGGTCACAGTGGGGGTAGAATAAAATATAATGAAAATGGTATGAAGTTGTGCGATTCTTTGGCTGTTTGTTAACCGAAACGGAAACGTTGAAAGGCAGGAAATGAGGGAATGTTAGCCACAGACAGAGCAGCGGGTGGCAGCAGTGATTTCATCTAAGCTGAACACTGGTTTCATGCCATTTGAAGCATTTTTTTCTTTTAGCCCCTTCTCTCTCTCATTAGGAGCCCATGTCTACATGTAAAACAGTGGAAACACTGCTTACAGAGGCAAAATGTTGTACATCGTGTGCTAGAATTATCCGAAGATAATTCTAAAAAAATGTACTAAGTACTTTGGAGTGAAATTCTACTATTCATTCTAAAACATAAGAATAAATGTGTATGTGTTTGGAGGGTGGAAACACTTTTCTTTTTTTCATACTAACAGAGAATGATAATTTTTAGTCTTTTTTCTTGAATGGTAGGGAGAATGATTGTTTAAGAGATACTTTGAAATGAACCAAATATTGTATATTTGGTCAATATTAGTTTCAAGATGGAATTAGGCATATTGAATATATATATATTAAACATATATCTGAAGTTCACTGTATATGAGAGATACATGATTTATAACCTATATTCATTACCATTTTATAAACAGAAGTATATTTTGTATACTAAAAGAAACTGATGCTCAAAGGGATGTTTTGTGTGATTAATCCTTTCACTAATTTAGCTCTTCTGCAAATTTTAACATATTAATATGGACATTTGGCTAGTACAGTAACAATGACAGTTAGTAATGTTGATTTATGCTATAGTGGGAATTGTACTAACTGGAGTTCTATTGCTGGTCTAACCACAAACTAGCCATGTAATCTTGGATAAATTTACTTCTTTGGACTTGCTTCCTTATTTGCCAAATGACGATCTCAAAGTTCCTTGCTGTGCCAATAGTAAATAGGTCTGTGAGTTGTCTGAGCACCTCTGCTTTAGTAAACAGTTGAGAGCATTTTTTCTGGGTGTGTCTCTCTCTTAGAATGAGCCTTTCCAAGCAGAGGAAATTGTAATGCAGTCAGGAAGAACCAATCTCAAAATCAAAGTGTCAGTGTGTCCAATATGTCTCCCAGTTCCTACCCTCACTCTTGTCTGAGCCTTTACTAACCAAGTAGAGACACCATAATCCATTCAAACACAGAGTAGGGTGCCTCCTAGCTAGTAGTAGTCTCTCTCTCTCTCCAACTGCCCCCAACAAGCATAAGTACACGTACACACACAACTGTACATGATCTAAGCCTTTGTCTGTGTTCTCTACCATGATCAGCATTTTCTGAAGGTTATATGACTCTCAGAGGTAGAGACTCAGTTCTTTTTTTGGAATCTAATCAGAACATAGAAGCTGTCCTGCACCCAGAACACTGCTGCCACCTCCATCAATCAGGGTTTTTTTCTGGTTAGGTGGTCCAAGTCCCAAATCCTATAGGCTCCAGTGGTGGTTTTCGAGTGCAATTCACAGACCAGCTCTGGCCTCTGACAAAGATTTCACTGGTCCATGGCGAAATGAGAAAAATTTAAGGAAAACTAAAATTGTCCAATGTAAGGGATTGAATTTTTTCTTAGATTATATCCTTCAAAACACTTGGAGGCTAATAATATTTCCTTCTTTTATGAAATGTAAGTGCCACCAGAATGTGAGTTTAATTCTCCCTCAGCCTCTGAGCCTCCATCCCTAATTGGAATTCCTGTGATAGTTCCTCTCCTTAAAAAAAAAAAATCTAAATTTTGGGAATCACTTGCTATTTTCTTTATAGAATTATCTGAAGCAAGAATTATCTGTAGCAAGCATTTTCTTTATAGAATTAGCTCAGAGCAATAGATATTCCCGTGTTGTTAACACGTTGAATAGTGTTCATCGTCTTCAGCTTCTCATGGAGCAATAATTCTGTTACAGGTTGAATAAAAGGCCCCATGTTTTTGAGGAAGGCTGTGCATTCAGAATTCAAAACTGTTTTTTGAAAATATGCCATTTTACTTTCTAAGGTAGCTTTCCCTTTGGGTGGTGGTTTTGAAACTCTATAATAATAGTATGAAGTTACATACAGGAAACGCTTGGCTCATTTTGAATCAGATGGATTGGAAACTCCTGTAGGCTAGAATATTAGTGGCTTCTAGTACATGAGTGTACACACACAGACACACACACACACATCCAGTTTCCAGGGTGACTGAATGAAAGCCTCACCTGGGAGTGAGTCATCTATCTGATACTCCTTAAGTCAGATGAGCACTCTAGCTGCCTAGCAGCTGCAGTCCTTTTGGAGCAGCACGGTACAAGGTCAGTCGATAAAATTTCATTATTCTTAGTGAAGGAAGCCCGAGTTACAGATAACTGATGCAGGAGATTTCTATTAATAGCTGTCGTTTTTCAGAAGGAATAAAACCAAAGGGAAAATGTTCACCCAAGACTAATTAAAAAGTAACATTAGTTACTAGAACATATTCAGAGAGAGCTCAAAAATTTTATGAGATCATTTTTTAGAAGCTTCATCTTTCGTTGAGATGTACTGGTACAGCTAAATAAAATTAGTATTTTTCTATTAAACTCCCATAAATTATCAAGATTCTCAGGAACTATAATCTTTATAAAACTTAGATAAGTAATAAAAATAGGAGAGTAAGCATTTACTTAGGTGGGGCAAACAATAGATAATGAATGATTTTTTCAAACCAAGTGCATTTTTAGATCCATATATATCATCTTAAGATTAGATTGTGGCTATATTAAAACATGTCAAAAATTATTGATGTTGAAAAACTTTCTTTAAGAGCAAAAACAGAGATATTAATGAATGTAGAGACGTGCTGTTCTCTTAGATTAAAAGATTAAATATCTTAAAGCTGTGAATCTTCTCAAAGTAATTTATAGTTTTAATGCAATTCCAATAAAAATTATGTCGTTATGATAGAGTTTTAAAAATTGACCTGGAAGAATAAACTAGAGATAGTAGCCAAGATAATTCTGTAAAAAAGTAAAGAAGGAAGGCTTTCTCTACTGGGTTTCAACATGTTCTCAGGAACATACAATTATCAAAAGAGTGTGGTACTGGCATTGGATGTGAAAAGCAAATCTAGAACTGCATCCTCACATACATGATCCCATGTATGAAAAAAAGGCAGCATTGGAAGCAGTGGGGAAAGGTGGGGATTGTTCAGTAAATAATAGGAGGACAGTTGGTCAACTATTTGGAAAAGATGTTGGGTCTTCACCTTTTACTTCTCACTAAAATAAATTCTATAGATTAAAAAGTTAAAGATTAGATAAAATATAAGATCACTCTCTATCCCCTTCCCTGTTCAGCTTCCCTTTGTAATGCTTATCACTATTTGACATGTATATATTTGTTTTTTGACTCTTCTCTCTTCATTAGAGTGTAGGTTCAACCAAAGCCCATGTTTTCTCCCTCTGCCTATTGATTTATCCTCAGCACCTAGAATCATCTGACACATGGAGGCATTTAATACATACTTGTCAGATGAATGAGTGAAAGCAATGAAAGGAGGCACAAGGGGAAAGAAAGCCCCCTTTTAAACTGAATGTGTGTAACCCTGTAGTGATAAACACAAAAACAAAAAACAAACCAGGAATCACCTTGCCCCACTTCATCATTCTGAGTAAGGCCAGCTGGGTCTGGGACACTGTGCCTGGTAATGAAATGATGTATGCCTCTCGCTCTTCATCTGGGTTTCAAAGACGTTGACCCTTACAAAACCAACTGAGGTCCCGAAGCATAACAAACAAAACCTCAAAGGCTTAATTCAGAGTCAAATCATAGCTTATTTGGAACCCATGGGTTTTCAGTGTTATTTTTTTTTTTTTTTTGCGGTACGCGGGCCTCTACACTGCTGCGGCCCCTCCCGCCGCGGAGCACAGGCTCAGCGGCCATGGCTCACGGGCACGTGGGATCTTCCCGGACCGGGACACGAGCCCGCGTCCCCTGCATCGGCAGGCGGACTCTCAACCACTGCGCCACCAGGGAAGCCCCAGTGTTATTTTGAAGATGAGAACTAAGTAGATTACGAAGAAGTACTCTGCTTTGGACTATGAAGAATACATGTGACGAATACCTCATCCATTAACACTACTGCTACTTTCAAGATCCACAGATATCAATTTTTGCCGCTGCTTTTTTTGTTTTTTAAATGGGCTTAAATCAGATTCATTGGCGAGAAGAGGGGGAGAAACAGAGTTTATTTATACATTTTCCCAGAATGAGCATTCACAAGTTTTATATTACTGGTACCCTCTCCTCCCCGTGCCATGCTCTCCCACACCCGATTAGCCACGACCGCTGCATCCTCTTTCTCCCACCAGAATGATGCTACGTTCACTGATGGAAGAGCATCAAGTTGTACCCGTTTCCTTCTTGCCTCTGGTTTGACCTGATTTCATTCTATGCATTAAAATTCCACAGGGGTCTAAGCACAGACGGCATGCGACACACATCCATCTTCCTACAGGGCTTCTGCCCATGATTTGATAAAGCACTTCCCAAATAGCTGCAAGATGCTTAAAAATGTTGCGACAGAAAATGTCATTCTCTCTTTTTGGGTCAAAACTTTGATCAGACAGAAGGATGAAACAAAATTTGACCTACCGAGGGTGGGATCATATTCCCAGATGAACCGTTTGGTCAGAAATCTCACTACGAGAGCTGTGGAAAAAAAAGGACAACATTTCAATCAAATTTGTCAATTTTCTTATAGTTCTTACCCTCATCAGGAAAGAGAAATAGCCCATACAACTATATGTGTTTTATGTTTCCTGGGCATATAAACCATTCAATATAAACCCGATATATCGATTTATGTTTATTCAGATAGTTTTAAAAATTCATATTGAGGCCTAAAAATTGGTGTAATGTTTTAATGGTTTGTTGTGCATTAATGAACATCTTAGATTTGTTCCTTTAGTCACAGAGTTAAAAGCATCACAATGTGAAAATGCACACATATACAGTTTTTAGCAGAACAATGAATGTAGCCATAAAGCATTACAATATGGATGTCTAAAGTTTGAATACTGATAATGATTGATAAAGACCAGTGAAAATGTGATGATTTTTACTGTAATGAAAAGATATTTGTATTATAAAAAATATTCAAAATTACAGATTTTATTAGTGAATCACTAAAGCTTCTCAAAAGTAAGGCCAATAAAGTACTTACAGTCAGGATCTGGAACTATGCCATTCACTTCACTTGCATGATCTCCTCGACCAACACTTCACCCCTGAGAGGCAGGTACTAAGATTGACCCCGTTTTTCAGATAAGGAAACTGAGGCTCTGAGAGGTTAACTCATTTAACTAAGCTCACCTAGCTAGTTAGTGGCTGAGTCAGGATGTGAATTCAAGAGGCTGTTTCCGAAGCCTGTAATTTCTCCATTGTCTAAAGGCCAAGGCCCTCTGGCTAATATTTAACTAGAAGGTGAGTCAGAAAAAGAGCGATGCTTGAGAGAGGTGGATTCTATTGTCCTTAAAAAACCGATGGGACACATGCTGAACATTTTCTTATTCTTGTATTATAGTTGAAAACAATGGTTTTTTTTGTTTGTTTGTTTGTTTGTTTTTGTTTTTTGTTTTTTTTTCTTGCGTTATGCGGGCCTCTCACTGTTGTGGCCTCTCCCATTTGCGGAGCACAGGCTCCGGACGCGCAGGCTCAGCGGCCACGGCTCACGGGCCCA